CATTATAAAGATCAAGTGACATATAAAATGAAGATTTTTTCCCCCTTCTTTTTCTAACATTGAGAACATAAGACAGAAGAAATAATTTATTTTATTAGGCATAAACTTTCCTTTAGTGTTCTACTGCATTTTTCTTAGTGAGGGTGGAAAGGCTTTTAGCTACCTTGCAGACAAAATAACTCATAAGTCCGTAGTTAATATGTACTTAAGTACCACAGGCACATTAGTCACTTATTTGTAGTAATGCATTTTCAAAAACTTTGTACCTGCCACTACAGTAGGGAAGTAGTATTTTATAAGAATATAAAGAGTTGGCTGGATAGATTTTATTTCTGCAATTTCTATCTAATGATTTTTACCAATTTATCTTTTTGCTTGCAAATATGTTTCAGTGTGGAAATAAAAAGCTTAAGTATGTATACAACCTTGTAACAAATCCATTATATTTGTTAACTTATGAAAAATAGATATAATTTCCAAACTGGAAGAAAGTCATGCTTTTCTTATAGCTCAGATGGCTCAGGAAAAAGGACCAATCCTTGTCTAGAAACACTTTGCTAAATACCTGTTTGTCTCAAGATGAACTACTCCTAGTCGAGAATTGGTTAGTATCTTTCACCATCAGTCTGAGCAATAAAATCAGAAAATTATATAGTGGGGATAAAACGTGGATGAAGTATAACAAGACTTGTTTTGCAATTCCAGTTACAGTCCAGGTCTAGTACAGCGCCATGAGAACTGGATTTGAAGTAAGAGACACATTTGTAATAAAAACCCTCGCTGATTTTCAGTAACTGTCTAAATCTTGGCAATTTACTCACACGATCAATCTGTTTCCTCTTCTCTAAAAATTGGGATCACAATAATCCTCCAACTCACAAGATTCTTTTGAAGAGTAAATAAATCATAGTATATCAAAGTACCCAGAACCACCCCTAACACATACATAGATGCTCAACAAATACAGTTGATCTAAATTTATCTGGTCTCCTCATCTGTAAAGCAGGCAGTTGGAGTGAACTGAATGTTCCCTAGGTCTCCTGAGACAAAAGATTCTAAGGCCTATAGACCTTAGTCAAGCATTTGGAATTTGTTGGGGGCGGGGAATGGTAGGAAACACAGAAGAATGGAGGGAATGTACCATATTACGGCAACACAGTACAATTTACAAAACCAATACAGCAGGTCCTCAAATAATGTCATCTTGTTCAACACCATTTCATTATATTGGGTTGTCCAAAAAGTCCCTGTGTGGTTGTTTTTTTTTTTTTCTGTAAAATAAAGGATACACTTTTCATTTTCACCAATAACTTTATTGATTTGGATATTTTGAGTATGTCAACTACCTCCTGCGATAGACTTCTAGTGGGCAGAGGCCAGGGGTGCTGCTAAACATCTTCCAACGTATAAGACAGCCCCACAGCAAAGAATTATTTGGTCAAAATGTCAATAGTACCAAGAAACTTCACAAACCACTTTTGACATGTTCAAGCAGTCACAGCACCTTCCCCATATACTGCACAAATCTTTTTTTTTTTTTGCATTTCAGTTGCATCTTTACCTTTCTTGAAATAACAAAGCAGAATAAGTCAAAAATGTTGTATATATTCTTCCATCTTCAATATTAACATGGCCGCACAAAAATTCCCCAATTTGGATGAATTTTTTTTAAATGCATGCTAATATGACAGCTGTCACAATACATTCTAACAAAATTATTTTGGATGAAATTAAAGACAACTAAGCACTACTAGAGCCATTGTATGGAAAAAAATCAAACAAACTTTTTGGCCAACCCAATAATATTGATGAAATGCCATAAGAACTTAACTCCTGTTTATATCATTTAGGCTTTAGCAGCAATTTTCAAACTTTTTCATCTCATGGAACATATAAACTAATTACTAAAATTCTGCAGCACAGCAAAATACATATTTTTGCCAATCTGACAAATAGTATAATTTTGATTCATTCACACTGGATGGCTAATTGTTGGCTGTTGTCACCTTATTTAACAATCTGAGGGGAAAGAGGCCAGTGCCCCAACTAAATAGTCGGGTCTTGTGTGTCTTGTAAATTCTTGCAGCACACCAATTGCAAATCGCTGGTCCATAGTAAAAGAGGTTGTTATATGTTGTTTCACTTAAAGTTGCAGAAATTATTGATGACTTTAAGTGAGAACCTATTATACTTTGAGATTTGTAGAAAGGGAATCAAGGCCCAGAATGGAATAAGAGAATTATCCAACTTAGAAGTTAATATCAGAACTAGGGCTAGATACCCAGATCGGTCACTGTAGATTGGATCCAGGGCTTCTTTTCCCTCTACCATCTACACTACAGCCAACTTAAGACTTTATCTTGGAGTTATTTATCTACTTACTTCAGTAAATCCACACAAAATTAGGTTAAGTTTGTCTTTGGCAGCTTATCCATCATGTTCTTATTTTCCTTAGATTCTCTTCAGATAGTCTGTCCAAAGGTTCCATTCCTTAACTTTGTAAACTATAAAGCAAAGTCGTCTCCTAAAATTTCCCTGTTCTATCCCCTGTTCCTATTTCCTGTCTGTAGCAATGATTGATAATAAGTTAACCAGATAAGTAATTCAGCACATAATGCTTACCTATGTTGGTTCACAGGAAGGTAAAACATTTTAGGCATCAAGGCATAGGACCAGGGATATAATTTTTGTGAGGGGCTCTTTTGAAACCTCTTTAAATAATAGCCACATTGTCTACAGGATAAAAGTGTAATAAAATATTTCAGAGCATTTGACCTCATATGTTCTATCAAATGGTATAGCCAAATACCTAGAAAAAAACCTAGAGAAAATTAGATTGATAAGGCACCAAAACTAAAGGTATACCTTTCAAGATAGCTGAAAAGTAACATTATCAAATCACTTACCAAACTAGAAATGCAACTTATACTATCAAGGTAAGAGTGCACAGGCTGTGGGGCTTTTGGTCTAAGAACAAATTGTATAAATTTTTATTATATTTATGATAGTACATGAATCCAAAAATTAAATTTGGTGTCTATCAAAGAGCAATTTTTTTTTAAAAAATCTGATATGGCTGTTAAACAAAACTATGAACAGTTATTTTAGATCAGAACCATTTATATTTCTAGGTTTAAGTAAGCCATATTCACAATTAACACTTTTTATTGAATTCAAAAGAATAAAAGCTACAATTCCCACCAATGGGAAATAAGATTGTTCCATAGATATTTTAGTCAGTAATAATTTCTTCTATGCCTCCCCAGCATGTTCCAATATAGACAACTTTACCCTTTAAGTACAAGGGACAAAGCATCAATTATAGACAAAATGGAAAATTACCACAATGAGGTCATACCATATAGTCAAGTACCAAGAAAGTTAAGTAGGTTTAACTGCAACTTAGGAAAAGGCTAAGTTCTCATTTTATTAACCAGTGGAAATAATCATTTCTGCACACTCTCATTTACAATAGGAAACATATATGAATGGTGAATACTTAGCAAAAAAGTCTCCATAATTGCACTTTGAATGCCTTCGTGATTTAACAATGGAAAGATTTTCTAAACAAAGATTTTCTGCTCTTCAACAGAACTAATGAAATATTAAAATTGTTTCATAGATCAATCATGCAGTAAGTAATGGAAAACACCTTACCTACTTAATGTAGGTTAGTAGTGTACTAGCTAAAATATAACCCAGTCACTTCTCCACATTTGAGACTGTTACAGCAGAAAATTGCTGGCATTGTTCATTTTCGGTGGGGAAAAGCGATGTTTCTGGGCAGATGGAAAGTAGCACAGTTGGCCATCAAATGCTTTTGTCAAAGGATTCTGACCTTCCAGACTCCAGTCTTTATTGGATCTCAGAACTTTCCTGTGCCCCCTACGCTGTACACCAGCTTCCACTGGTCTGGAAGTTATTTGCATGGCGAGGCAAAACATTTTATTCTCACATTTATTTCTACTTCATTTCTTCCAGTTATTAAAAAGTTTTTTGCTTGAGATGAAAGGACAACCATATTTCACCATTATGGTAGCTGTAACTTGAGTTGATTCAGTTTTGTTTTCTTTATTATTTCTTGTTGCTTGCTTTAGAAATGTAGGCTAAGATTCTCAAAATCTTAGCAGTCAACAAGCTTATGGAAAATGTAAATGATATTAAAGCCATGTAAATTAATCTTTTAAAATACAGTGTACTAGGAGTGGAGTAGAAATAGCAGAATTGTTTAAAATGTGTTGCCATTTTATTTGAAAGTATGAAAGGTTATTTTTCTCTGAGTGTGAACGACAGTGATACTTAGCAGAGAAAAACTTTAAAAACTGAGCAAACCTTGATTTCTTTAATTCAATGTTGTAGATTTTCTCCAGTTATATTGAAAAGTTATCAGTGAATTTTTGTTTTAATTTCAGGAATTCAAATTATAGTCATTAAATTCCTGGGTAAAAATCCCAATGATGATAATCTAAATTTAAAAGCTGATGAGAGGGAAGGTGGGAGGGGGCAAGGGAAAGGGGGGGGGGAAGGCAGAGACAAATGTATTTAAAAAGTAAATAAATTAATTAAAAAAAAAAATAAAAGCTGATGAATACAAAATAAAAGTCAATTACGTTTGTGCTTGAACAGCAAAAACACAAAACATAAAACACAAAAAACTAGAACTGCCCATCGTATGACACTCATAAATGAGGTGTTTTTGGCTATGTAAGCATGTTAACTAAACATGCTTTCCCTGCTGTTATTTTTATGCATCACATGTGAATGCAGACTTAAAACAACTTTGAATTTAAAAGAAACCAAGACCTTTATTCTATACTTTCTTCTGTAGTACTTTGTTGCTAGATTTTTGATGCAATTTTTGAGGAAGAGTTTTTTTTCTTTTTTTCAATTTTTTATAATCATGTTTATTCTGTTATAGTTGTATTTTCCGCCTTTGCCCCCCTCCACCCATCCCACCCCGCCCCCCTCTCCCACAGTCAACTCCCACCCCGCCGTCCGTGTCCACGGGTCATTCACACATGCTCTCTGTCCAGTGCCTTCTCCATCCTTCCGTCATCGTCCCCCCTGCCCATCCCCTCCAGTCACCTTCAGTCTGCTCCACGTTTCCCTGCCCTGGTCTCCGGCAAAGGCGGGACAGAGTGGGCTAGAGACGCCGGAGGAGAGACCGGGGAAGGAGGCTTTGGGGAAAGAACGGAGAGAGTAGCTGGCGGGATCCCGGTGCCAACTCATCCCCCACGCGGCAGCAGCCATGCCGCTCAGGCAGAGACCACCGAGGAAGATGTTTCATAAACAACAAACTAATGCCGGCACAGTCAAAGTCATTTACCAAAAAAAAAAAAAAAGTTTTCCCCACTTTTCAACATAATATACAAACTGTAAATTCTCTCAAGGTGGGAGCTCTCTAGAGTTTCTTAAAGCATTGGAAAGCACAGCATGGCAAAAGAAGGCATTCTATATAAATAGTGTTCAAGCATTCTGTAACATGTAGTGTTTTTAGTGTAACTGGAGTACAACTTATCTACATACACACACAAAATATTTCAGAAGCAGGTGAAGCGAACAGAAGCACCAGCTCTTTGAATTATACTTGATCACGCAGACGAGCAAGTCTCTGTGATAGTTCATCCTGAAGAAAGAAAACTTGAAAAGTCAGAAGGCTGGGACATGTATATAAATCACTAATATTTTAAGGAGCTCACATTTAAAAAGATTTAAAATACTGTCTCAAAAATTCACACAAAAACCAACATAAAGAATTTACTTTTTTAAACATTCCAAAATAAGTGGTGAACTAAATAAAGCAGTAGCTTTGAAAGGGAGCAAATTCAATCTCTAAATGAAATGTACGTGCAAAGAGAAAATGTCCATCATTGAGGAGTAAAGACTAATTACAATTCACCAATTTATGATGATGTCGTATTATAGTAGAAGATACTCTTTATACAAGAAAAACAGTATATAGACAGTATTTATACATGACTATATATACAATATATATTTAATTTACACATCAGGCTCATAGTAATCAAGATAAAATCCATCTACCTGTTCCGTGGAAGCAACGCTGGTGCCAACAGATCCTGTCTGACCCTGTGGTAGCTCCATATTGAGATCAAGGCTACAATTTTAAAATGATTAGCATAAACAAATGTTAATATAGGTACTTTCCTCCGTATGCAATTATAAAAGCAATAAAATAAACTTGTTGCAAATTTGAATATTCCACCTAGCACTGTACCTTAATTTAAATAAAAATAAAACTGGTTAAATGTTACAAATAACAGAAAAACTAACAGAAGACAGGAAAACGATCTGGTCGTCTGAACAGAAGACCAAAATAAAAATCATACAATGTCTTCAGTTTATTGGCGGTTACTATATGACTCGTAGTGTAAAGGAAAATGAATATGCTGAGAAAAGATAGAACAGGTTAGATAAATGTAGCCTCAGGATCCATACCGAACATTTGAGCTACTTCAAGTTCAATGTGCCTAGCTCCTAAGCTACTCTTAGCAGGAATTATTACTTGCATCCACCCATACTACTGAAGTTTAGAAGAATTAAGTTCACTTGCCCAAGATCCACTCTAGTGATAAAAAGGATGTGAACCCAGGATTGACTGCCTCCGGGGCCTGTGATTTTCATCATCTACATTGTCCTACTCCTCTAGGATATAAACTCACCTTTCTGCCTGTATCTAGACCAGTATATGTCAACGTCACTTTGAAAACACTACAGAGAATACAGTATCTTTAATAGTCATTAAGAGAGTCTATAGGTAGATTGTTACAGAAAAGGTAAAGATATGCTATACTAAAATTTCGTTGAGGGAATCACAAACTCAAACAGAAATTGGACAGAAACACCTTTCAGGATGGGCATCAGGATCTCTACATCAGTGATTCTACCTGTTTCCACTGCTCTGGTCGTCATCCATTATTGATATAACTAATTTCCCTTGACTGATGGCCCCTGACCATCCCCCACCCTCAGGACACTTGGCAATGCCTGGATGGAGTTTTGACTGTCACAGTGGGGTGGGGCTGCTACTGGTATCTTATGGGTAGAGGACAGAGACACTGCTGAACATCTTACAATGCATAGCACAGCCCCCAGGATTACATAGCAGTGCTGAAGTTGTCAAAACCTGCTATAAATATTCTGAAAAAGTTCTCCCTCTCTCTCTCACTCTCTTCCTCTCTGTGTCTATAAATAAAGAAATAAATAAAAGCCCTGGCTGGTGCGGCTCAGCGGACTGAGAGCCAGCCTGCGAACCAAAGGGTCACTGGTTCAATTCCCAGTCAGGGCACACGCCTGGGTTGCGCACCAGGTCCCCAGTAAGGGGCGCGCAAGAGGCAACCACACGTGGATGTTTCTCTCCCTCTCTTTCTCCCCGCCTTCCCGTCTCTCTAAAAAACAAACAAACAAAGAAATGAAATCTTCTCAAAAAGTTATCTACTGAACTTGATTTCCACTGAGGGTCACCGAGGCTGTAACGTGGCAATATTCATTTTACAAGACCCCCTTTGCTGTACTTTCAAGCCCAATCTTCTTATTTAGTCTTCAGTGGGAACGGAAACAAGTCCTTAGCCTCATATTACTGAGATGGAGTCTTCTGATACACAATGCCTTGGTCTTTTAACTACTTAATAAAAATTACCTTTCTTGGTTATCTTCCCTGTTGGTATGTGGGCTACATCAGGATACTAACAAGGAAAAACAGTGTACAGCCTAACCGCTAGCCCTCTTCGCAAATATTTCAAACTGGATTTATTCACCTGGTTTTAATTCACTATTGACACATTAGTTATCTAAACAGCTGATAGCTGCTCATTCTAATCAGGAATTAGCTTAACGATAGAATAATATTCATCAACCCTATTTTCTAGGTATCTTCGATTCTTTTCCTTCCAGAGAAAAGGATAGCGTACATAAACCCTATTCCAACCTATTACTTCATCTTTCAGGATCAAGCTTAAAACTTTGGTATTACCTAGTTTTCATCTTTACTTTTTAAAAATTTATTGATTGTTTATGTACAATGGTCTCTTGAACTAAATAATATACTAGAGAATACTGATATAACATCATAGCTCTGTGATCATAGTCAACTCATCCCCTTCAAACATGAAGGGTCTGAAATAAACAGCCCATTGACATACACCCTATTTCTAATAGCAGTACCACCAAGGGGGTCAATTATTTATTGAAAAATATATACGTGACCATCTTCAATAATGCAACGTTACCATCTTTTAAAACCCTTGGACATTTTGCACATATCACTCAGTCTGCAGGACTCAAACTGGGCTTAAAGCTTAGTGGCCTGATCACAGCAGAATTCTTTACAAAGATATTTTTTTTGTAAAAAGAATCCAGAAAAAGAAAGAAAGAATCTCCCCCTGAATGGTGTGGTTCAGTGGGTTGGGCATCTTCCTGAAAACTGAAAGGTTGTCATTTGATTCCTGGTCAGAGCACGTGCCTCGGTTGTGAGCCAGGTACCCAGTGCGGGGACACTCGAGAGGCAACCACACATGGATGTGTCTCTCCCTCTCTTTCTTCCTCCCTTCCCCTCTCTCTAAAAAGAAATAAATAAAAGTCCAAAAAAAATCTAAACATTTGCTACATGCTATATTTCAGAGAGAGAGAGAGAGAGAGAGAGAGAGAGAGAGAGAGAGAGAGAGAGGGAGAGGGAGGGAAATCTATATATATATGGTATTAAGAAAATGTTTAAATACTTATACCTCTCTCAATTACCTTCCTGCATGTCTTATCACACACTAAATAAATGTTTCTCCAGAGATTTTTAAGAAAATCCTAGAACAATCTGAGCAAAGTCACATTTTATAACCTCAGCAAAGAGCTGGATGATATTTCAAATGCCCTTTCCAACACTAACTTCTAGGGTCAAAAACCTAACTGTGACCATTGGTAGTAAAGAAAAATATCTTTATCCACGTTACATGATTTTAGGACCTCCAGATATTAAATCAAGATTATCTAAAAACACTGAGTAACTTCTTACCCAGCTTCATCTGCCATTTCCTGAAGCAGCATATCCACTTGGTTCTAGAATAAGAATATGAGAATTTGTATGTTAATGACAATTGCTTTTGGGGTGGTTTCTGTTTGTGATATTGCTTTAAAAGAGGCGATATGGTCTACAACTTTTAAAAGAAAACTTTTTAAAAAAATACTTTTACCACCAGAGGGAGCCGAATTATTTCAAAAAGACTTATTTCTGAATGATGCTAAATAAAATCCTTAAGCTATGAGGTTATGTTAAACATATTAGCAGTGATATTCACATATAATTTGAAATCTGTGTAAGGTAGCTCTCTATTACAAAGTGAACCAATTTATAAAGCTCTTTCCTAACCCACTTTGCTTGTATTTACAGTGTAATAGATTTGAATTTTATATTAATCAGAATTGTTCTGCTGGTTAATACAAATTTGATATTAAGAATTACACTTTAAAAATATTGAGAGATGAATAAAATTTAGAAGTACACTGAGATATTTATTTACTATAGTACAAGAGTTCTCAGGAAATAGAATCTGATTAATCAAAACAATCTTGGTTTTAACTTAGTTGTTAAAAAATATTTTGGATATACTGGTGAGAGCTCTAAGATATAGTCCCAGCTCTACCATTAACAAGGTGTATGATATGAAGCAACTCCCTATTCTTGCTGTTGGGCCTTAGTTTTGTTTTCTTGCATTCACTTTTAAAATATTTCTAAAAATACTTTTTTTTTCAAAAAAATAAATATTTCCAAAAATGTACGAAAAGTTCCGAAAAAGTACATTAAATACTTACGTGTATTTACACTTTTGTCTTCATATCTAAAATAGCATTATTTGTGTTTTTAAAACTTACTTAATAGTAGCATACTATGCATACTATTATGCAACTTCCTCTTCTTATTCAACCTTGTAAGATCCAATTATGTTGAGATTTAGTTCATTCATGTGCACCCCTGTCCCATACAGTGCAGAAATACTCTCAATTTTATTTATCCCTTTATTTCTAGACATTTAAACTTACCCCCTAAGTTGTCCTGATTATAGACAATGGTGTGATGAATGTTCTCATCTATAAGTATCTTTGTACACACATAGGAGTTTCTTTGTATACAAATTTGGAAGTAGAAGTACTAGATTGTAAGTTACATGTGTTTTCATATACTCTGATTTATTCAACAGATATTCAGGGAGAACGCACCTTATGCCAGATATCATTTTAAGTGCTAGGAATGTATCAATGAACAAAAATGAAAACAATTCCTGCCTTCTTTCAGGTTACATTCTAGTGTGTGCTTGTGAAGGGGGGACAAATAAAAATTTTAAAATTATATGGCATATTAGAAAGTGATAAGCACTATGAAGAACATTAAAGCAAAATGTAGGGAGTCCAGGGAACAGTGCATGTGCTGCTGAAGTACTTCTAGGGCGGATGATCTGGAAGATCTCACTGAAAGCATGACATTTGAACAGAGAACTGAAGGAGGTGGGGAGGAGGCAATGAGGGTACCTGCTGGATGGAAGAGGAACATTCAGGCAAAAGGAATCACAAGAGGAATAGCTTTGAGGCAGAAGTGTATTTGGTGTGTTTGAGGATTCCCAAGGAGACCAACGCCTGAGGGGAGTGCTAAGCAGTAACAGCAGGTAAGGTCAGACACACATGGGGAGGCTGGTCCCTGTTGGGGTATCCAGGCCATGGCCCAACAAAAAATCATAAATTTACTGAAAATCCTTATTTTTTTTTGTTAACCATTTTCATTACTGTTTCTGTATTTAATGTGTGGCCCCCGACAACTCTTTTTTCCACTGTGGTCCAGAGAGGCTGAAAGGGTGGACACCCATGCAAGCCCAGGGCATTGCAGGCCATTGTAAAGAATTTGGCTTTTATTCTGAGAGAGATGAGAAGTCACTAGAGGATTTTGAGCGGAAAACTGGCAAGATCTGACATGTTTAAGAGGATCACTCTGGCTGCCCTGTTCCAAACAGACTATAGATATTACCAAATTGATTTTCCGTAGTGAATATGCCCATTTAAATTCTAACTGCTCATTAGGAGGGTATGAAAATTGGGACAACCAAGTGTGTTCAACCAGATCCCTCACCATTTCTGTTGAAAGTTTTGGTTGACTTTGTATGAAAAATGTTTTGTATATATTTACCTTTCCCCAGCACCTAGCACAAATACCTGAACAGAAGGCGTTCGGCAAACGTGTTCAAGGTGTGAATGAACTTCAAGATTTTTCAGAGCTAAAAGGCATACACACGTCATGGGATCCAACCCCTGCATTTTACAGCTAAATACACTTAGGCCCAGGGTAATAATTATCTTAAGGTCCCGAAGTTAATTAGTGGTTAGGTGGTGATTAGAAATCCACTCTACCGCTAGATTAGTACTTACTTCAAGTCATTTTTCCAATTCACTTGTGTTTCCTAAATTTTACTGATTACCTGGGGATCACCCACGGAGCTCGAATAAGAAGCAGAAACTCCACAATGTGTTTCTGCTTCTTATGCAACGTGGAGTTATGTGCTGAGCGCTTTTCAGACTCAGCACATAAAAATCACCTGGGAATCTTATTAAAATAGTTCTGACTCAATAAGGCTGTGGATGGGGTCAGAATTCCTGCATTCCTTATGAGCTTCTGGATGATACAGACGTTCCGGATTCCTGACCACATTTTGCAGATCAAGGCTCTAGAGAAGGTATACAAGTAATGGCTACATATACAGGGTCCGGGACAAATAATGTCCCTGTTCTGCTACAAAATCTTTTATTACAAAATCATAAGCATGTCATTCTGTAACATGACAATAGCACCCTCAAGCACACTATAGGGTATTGTAGGTGAAATGTTCAAATGAAAACTATAAATTATTACACCCATATTATTACTCTACCAACCCCACTCAAGCAGGCGTTACTTCTGCCGGACCCTGTGTATGTTTGCTCTAAGATAATCACATGAATGCTTTCTTTCTTTACTCTAAAATCTAAGTCTAAACTTCTTATTATTTATCTTTTTGTGAAAAGAGTCATCTGCATTAAAATATGGACAGCTGCTAATTTCCTCATAACCTGTTCAGTAAATTGCATTTTCTCCCTATGAACAACGAAAGGAGTAGCAACAAGTTCTTTGTCACGTGATTAACCCTGTGATAGGTCCTGGGACCAAGGAGAAGAGTGACAATGAGAGAGCTCCTCTGTGTGAATATTGAAATTTCACAAAACTTTGTTTCTGGACTGTGCCACATTCAAACTATTTTCAAATTTTAATTTTCTCTGCAGCACATCTCTAAGTTGCAGGCTTAGAAAACATCCTACTTTTCTGGAAAATAATTGACCTTTTAATTTACTACTTGTTCACCTGGGACTTGTGCATAAATTACACAACCTAAAGAATAGGGAGGAAGAACGGTATTTGCAATGAGATGAAATCAGCCGAGGATTCGGACCATCTCTAACACGCACTGGCCTCAGTGAGCCTCTGGTGCAATGCCTTCATCAGTAGGGAACACTTGGTAGAACCAAGTCCCAAACTCTCTAGACATGGGATCTAGTATAATTCTTAGAACTTCAAAGTAAAATAGGGAATATGGCATCTTCCAACATGTCCTCAGGAACCCAGGGGCAGGGCATAACTTCCTACTTGCATTTGGGGGATGCACCACGTTTACTTCACATCCTAGAGATGATTTGGGTCCAAAAAGCCATTATATCTTGAAGTTGGGTGATTTTAAAAAGTTATTCTAAGTAAAGAAACTCTTCTTACTTGTGGTGTTGTTAGGGTTGTAGTGCTACTCATTGTGTCTTCCATTTGCTGTGTCTGAACGTCCAGTGTTTCAAACTGGTGCTCAAATTTATCCATCAGGGCAGAGATCTGTAAAAAGAAATATGGCCATGAGAAAAACTTACACTGAAAAGATGATATATGAACATCAAATAAAAATTTTTTTTTTACCTTTTCAAGGTTCATACTCCTCAATGTGGCATCCATAGACTTAACCACACCTGCCATGGACTTGGTTACCTGTTGGGAGTATAAAAAACAAGACTGAGCACGATATAAGTCATCTCAACATCTAGGTAGCCTCTTAAATACATGAGTTTTACTTACAGATCAACTTAGAAAATTTGTCTACCCTTTCCTTACCAGTATGTATCGCTGGTCTTTTACTCTTCATTGGAAAACAACTCATAGGCCTTGGTTTAAAAGCCACTGCCAAAGTCCTTGCTAGGTACTTTGACTATGTCTCTCTTGCCCATAAAGGCCTTTGCTAGCACCCTACAGCACCTTGCAGTGGATTTAGATTTCTGACAAGTCCTCATACTCTCCTGAAACTTAAATCAAGAGTTCCCTTATAGATATTAAGCCTTACCTTGCCCATTGTAACTGCGCTTTGAACTCTAGCTGCCACAGCATCCACCCTAGCGCTCATTCTCAAGAAGTTAATTGCTTGGTTCTTCTGGCGGATTGCATTTTCAGCGTGTATTCTTGCGACTTCTGTATTGCCTTTCTGAATGGCCTGTTTTAAACAGAATAAAAGTAAAGAGCGGTGAAGACAAAGAGCAAAAGTAAGTATTGGTGAAAGAATGGAACAAAAGATATTTTAAAAGGAGGAAAACTACCCCAAAGTAGCTTATTTTTAATAATATTTAAGAGCTTTTACAATCAGTTTTGAAGGATATAAAATGAGAATGTATACTTTATTTTTAAAATTGCTCATAACCCCATCGCTGAGCCATTACCATGTTAATATTTATTTTAGCGTATAGTATTCCAGGTACATAAACCTATTTATTACCATTTAAATTTATTACAAAGTAAATACATAAAGCATATTGTTTTCTCACCTAATTTTAAAAACATACCTTTTTTAAGTCAGATACATAACTACATTGTCATTTTTAAAGGCTGGTAGTATGAAAGGGCCACTAACCAAGGCTTTCCTCATGGCTCGCACAAACACTACAGAGAGTACATAAAATGACTTTAGATATTTATAGAGCCAAGCATTTTCACTTTAATTACGTCTTTATTTAAATATATTATTGAAATACATATAACTAACACAAACCCATGCTTTCTTTTTTTTTTTAGATTTTATTTATTTATTTTTAGAGATGGGAAGGGAGGAAGAAAGAGAGGGAAAGAAACATCCACGTGTGGTTGCCTCTCAAGCACCCCCTACTGAGGACCTGGTCCACAACCCAGGCATGTGCCCTGGCTGGGAATCGAACCGGCAACCCTTTAGTTCGCAGGCCAGCTCTCAATCCACTGAGCCACACTGGCCAGGGCCAAAGCCATGCTTTCTTGCTAGCATAGCTTTAGCCAGGGCTAAAGTTAAAAGTTAATTTAAAAGAAAATCTTAAATAGATCAGATGGGACTTCCAAAAAGAGCAAAATGGAGAAGGTATAGAAGTGACAGAAATTTAAGAATGTGCATCGGTTAAAATCCTTTAATGCTAGGAACTAGTAATAAACAAAGAGAAGCTGTTATTAACTATGACAGATAATAATTTATTTAAATATATATTTGGCGTAGAATGCTAGAGCCAGTAGGCCTTTTATGTAAAATAACATGAAACATCTACTCTTCCATGATTAATTGTGCTCATGACTTTAAAAGAAGATACAAATATTAAAAATAGCTTACCTTTTTAATCTTGGCCTTTTCAGCCTTTTCTTCTTTATCGCATTTCTTGGCATTCCTATTAAGCTCTTTGGCAGCAAACTTCAAGTTAAATAGGTGTTCTGGAAATATATGTTAAGGCTATTCAAAAAAGTCATTTCCCAATTTAACTACTGAAAACAAGCTGTTAAATTTATAAAACTTATCATATAAGATTCTGCTACTTAAGCAACTATTCACAAAGTATTTGAGAAAACAGAAAAAAATTTTACCTATTCTACATTTAAGAGCTTCATTAAATTAACAGCAAGAAAATATTTATTAAAAATAGCTACGTTATAGTAGAGAAACCTGAAAGACAAAACTCTACCTACGATAACATCAGCAGTAAGACATTTCCACATCGTGTACCTTGTAAAGCAATGAACCGCAAAGGGTACAGTATCTCTTCTGTGGTGGTGTTGCCAAAAACAAAAGCTCTATCTACTTCAGAGGAAACATCAGACAATCCTGAACACATTCTATGTCATAACTGACCAGTGTACTCTTCTAAAGTTCATGAAAAGCGAAAGATGGAAGAGCTGGCACAGAGCAGTGAAGAGTAAGGAGACAGGCTGGCGAAATGCAATGTGGGACCTCCCATTAGAATGTGGAACAGAAAAAGGACATTAGAGGGGAAAGTGGTGAAATCCAAATAAGAGCACTAGTATAGTTAATGATACTATAGTGATGTTGATTTCCTCTTCTTGATAATTGTACTATGGTTTTATAAGATGTTAACAATAGAAGCTTGGTAAAGGGAATGACTCTGTACTATTTTTGCAATGTTCAGTCTCTAAATATTTTAAGGTTAAAACTTTTATTTTCTCTTTATTTTTAAAATGCTTTTTTGTTATTCTTTAAGCTGTTACAGTTGTTTCCACTTTTTTTCCACTTCCCCTCCCTCACCCAGCCAGAAGCCAATCCCTACATTGTTGTCTGTGTCCATCGATTGTGCATAAATTGTTCTTTGGTAAATGAAGGTAGATTAAAAGTTTAAATAAGAAAAATAACAATGGGCCCTGGCTGGTGTGGCTTAGCAGATTGAGCACTGGCCTGCAAACTAAAGGGTTGCTGGTTCGATTCCCAGTCAGGGCACAGGCCTGGGTGGTGGGCCAGGTCCCCAGGAGGGCGCGTGCAAGATGCAACCACGCATGGATGTTTCTCTCCCTCTCTTTCTCCTTCCCTTCCCCTCTCTTTAAAAGTAAATAAATAAAATCTTGGGGGGAAAAAGTAAAGTCCTTCATACCTTCATACACTGCAACAATAATTAGTGAAATAAAGCATGAGAATACTGATTATATCATAATTACTAGCAGTTCCAAAAACTACAGCCCTATTATTACACTTGTAGTAATAAATTCAGAGTAACAATTGAGTTCCATGAAAGTAGAAAATGCATGTGTGTATACGTTCATTCTCATGCCCTCCGACCCCTTTTCCTTCTCTCCCTCCCTCTCCATAGCCAAGTCCTTTCCAATTAAAGAAATACTAACAGGAGGCCACATGTACATTAAGGGCAGGTGGATTTTTACCAGTTCCTATTTGAAGTTATACAATAGTTGCATACAGTCAGAAACGATTACGTGTTACAATGTATTTAATGTGTAGCCCAAGGACGTCAAGAGGCTGGGGACCCCTGCTACTGTATGCTCACAAGCTCTGTGCCTTTCTTTGCTTTAATTTCCTCTTCTACAAAATGAGGGTACTACCACCTGTCTTACAGTGTTCAGAGATTGAAATAATATATACAAAATCCTCAGCACAAAGTCTGGCACATAGTAGGTGTTCAATAAATCATCATTACCACCTCATGACTTTGTTAAGTCATCTATCTTAATTGGGCAGTGTGGTAAGTAAGGGAATAAAGAGCCCCATTGTTTCTTTAAAACATTCTATGTGTATAAGGAGACTAAATGGTAATGGGAAAAATACAATAAAGATTAAATTAAAAAGAAACATTCTATGCGGTTTCATTCATTTGCAATCACACCACTGAGGGGTAAAGTATGGAAAACAGCTATGTCTTAATATATTATTGCTCTAAAATTTAAATAAATGAGAATCATTAGGGTTCAACATATTCATTAGGTTTATAGAAGGAGGCCTTGCTTTAAGATGTCCACCTGCTTCCTCCAAAAAATAATTGTTTACTAGACGAAATTCACAGTAGAAATCTCAGGTCCTGCCCACCTCCCTGAAATCGGTGAGGCGACACCAAGTGAAAAGGTCACAATAAGGCAGAAAATGCTTGGATTTCACGTACCAAACGTAAGATTATGCAATCCTTTCAGGACAGGGAAGTAGGGGATGAAAAAAAAAGAGGAGGTAAGAGGAAGGAAATAAAAATGTTCCACTAGGACCTGCCTGCCCAGAATAAAGCAGTGGTACCTACACCACAGATTGTTTATGTAGATGAGGGAGGACTCCCCCCCAACCTGGAATTACCTCCTGCAGGGCAGGCCCCTTGTAGTACAAGCTCCCCCACTGGGTGAGTGTTCTAGGAACCCATCTGTCCCAGTGTAGCAGCTGGCGTTGTGGTGGGAGGTTACATTCAGATTCAGGGTATTTTTGTGAAGGCTCTTTCAACAAGGTTGCCCATTTCATGATGAGTGATTTATGAGCGCAACTGCCCACACCCTGCAGCAGTGTGTTCAGCAGCTTTTGACCAAAAACAGCATCCCGGCCCCAGCCCGTGCCTCACCCTCCCTTATTCACCTGATCTCCCTCCCAGTGACATTTCTGTTGTGCTATGTTTCCCCCAATGAAAAAAGTCCTGAAGGCAAAATGTTTTCCCGATGTGGTAGAGGTGAAACAAACAAACAAACAAACAAAAAAGGCAGAAGCGCTAAAAGGCATCAAAATCAATGCATTCAAAAATTGTTTTGAGCAGTGGAAAAAACATCTTGATAGGTGTATTGCATCAAATGGAGAGTATTGTGAAGGTGACTGTGGTTTAAACACGTAAGAATACACAACTTTTTATAAATAACTTGGGGGGGGGATTTGGGGTCCTCCCTCACACATTTGATGAGAAGTGCTTTTAGGCATCCAACTTTCCCCTTTTGTAGCTACCAGCATTTTGGTCATTCCTATGAGTTTCTGAAAGGTAGAGTTGGGGATCACAGAAACACAGGGAGATCATCAGAATTGAAAGGAACCCTAGAAGTCACTTAACTTTCCTCATTTTACGGATGTGAAATCTGAAGCCTAGAGATGGATAATTAAGGAGGAATTGCAGAATTGGTACTCGAATGGCATTAAATGATGAACCATAAGTAACCCTTATTTTTGTAAGATACAGCATTCTACTAGCCAGCCAGGCCATAAATTATATAACTACTTTCAGGTAAAATATAAAATGCTATTAATATCTTGGTCAAAAAAATCACAATACACTTGTGAATATTAGCAAAGCCTCAGAGACTTTGATATGTAACTAGTTCTGCTTTAGGATAGAAAGCCATTCATAATGGTGAACAGACGTTCTTTTTTAATATTTTATCTGTTTATTTTTAGAGAGGGAGAGAAACATCCATGTGTGGTTGCATTTCGTGCACCCCCTGTTGGGGACCTGGCCCGCAACCCAGGCATGTGCCCTATTCTGGGAATCGAACCTGCGACCCTTTGGTTTGCAAGCTGGTGCTCAATCCACTGAGCCACACCAGCGGGGGCTGGAAACATTCTTAAGGTAGCTAGCAATCTTTGCCTAAAACACAGTTGGTCTCATCTGTCTGGGAGACTACAAAAGGACACAATGATACCAGTCCAGTTCACACCCCTTTCTATACTCTCAGAACATATGCAGTACCTATTACCTACCTCACTACTTCTCAACCCTTTTCCGGGTTAAAATCCCTAACCCTCAGAGAAAAAGATGCCAGCTATAGGTATTTTCCCCAGGAAAAAGGCACATACTAAGACAAAATTTTGCATACAGCTTCAAGGAGTTTAGTAAATCCACAGATGGGATCAAGAATCACTGTTATATTATTCATCTAAGTCAGTATGTGCTACATTACATTGCTATTTATCCCCTCCCAAGAGTGTTGTGGCTCAGGTATATCAGAAGTTGCTCAGAGTTGGAAATGAACCTTACAACCCTCTGTATCAACAGCCTGGGTACATTGCTCAGCTCATAGAAGAGGCTCAATATATGTTAATTAATTCTTAACAGAAGGTCTTTACCCACTTTGTGTCCGCCAATGACCACGTGCTGTGCAAGGAAATGAGGATTCAAAGACTAAGTAAGGATCCCACCCTCAAGGAACTCTATGTAAGTGATAAGTACACATGATTACAGAAGTGAAAAAAAAGGCTAAAATGGAAGACGTGAGGAAAAGAGACAGAGTAGGAATTGGTAGGAACTGGTGCTCTCAGATTTCTAGTTTGTTGCAGATGGTGGAGTAGATTAGAAAGATAATGTGGAAAATTTCCTGGAAACAAAGCACGTTTGATCCAATGAAACCACAAAATGCCAGAAGAGAGGTAAAAACATAGAGAAGCAAAAAGCAGGGCATGGAGCAGAGGAGTAGGAAATTATCCCTTAATTATTCCTCTTCAATTGTTTAATTCTTACAGTTAATCAAACACTACTCCTGAAACACATTGTATTAATACTCACATATTGCTATTGATTCTATGCTTGTAAAACACCTACATGAACATGTTACAACAAATAAATTTGGTCAGTCCATAGAGTTCTTTAAAGTGAGATTTGATCTAATCCACCAAGATAAACTCGGTGTTTTACCTGTCCAAACACAGAAGTCACAATTACCACACTAATTCAATTGTTAGCACATTTAATTTTCTTATATATGGTAACAATGAGATTTTTACAATATACATAGGCATCAAATAAATGCATACAAGTTTAAAGAAGACAAGCCTGAGTCAGTATGTCATTTTCCTCCTCTATATTCTAAGGAAAAAGTCTGGAATCTACAAAATGAAACCAAGAGAAGTAATCATTGACAGATGGTATGTGTCAAGTTAAACCTCCTCACTTCTTTTGACAGACTGAAGGGTAGTTAATAGTTCATTTTTAAGATATTAAACTATTAATAACAGTACTATTAATTTTAATTATAGTCAGGCATGCATAATTTTCAGCAAAAGAAAATTAGTAACCAAGCATCTTGTTATTAGAAATCACATAGGGTACACTTAGGTAGAGAAAAATTAATTTGCATTATTAGAGTAGAAAAGGTAAATTTTAGAGCTATGACTTCAAATCATTCAAAAAGTTTGGGGGAGAAAGATAGCAATTAGTACTTTATTTCTTCATTCTTAACAGTATGTTCAAAACTCTATGATTTAGGATGCCCTTCCTTTTCATTTTGTCTTCATAACAGCTTTAGAAGGTTGGCAGATCAGTTAGTATGTTCACAGATGAGGAAACTTTGCCCGCAGAGGCTATATGATATGACTCACTCTAACTCGTGTTTCCTAAGACGTCAAGCCTAGGGGGTGGAGGGATTGAGCAAAAAGGAAAAAGGACACGGACGACGGTGTGGTGATGGGGGGAGGGGTAATAAAGGGGTTAAATGGTAATGGAAAAAATACAATAGAGGTTAAAAAATAAAGAAAGAAACAAGAACAAAATGCCACAAAACAACAAAAAAAATTGATACTCGGAGTCAATCTAGTGGCCGTTCCTTTATGATGCTGCCTTTAAAAAATGATCTAACGCGGCTATACGTTCATAAATTACACCCTTGAAACTGCAGTCATAACTGGGCCTTTTAGTCCTCTATTCTGTTAATAAAACGAGCTATTTTTACACCTCACATTTTATTCTTGGTTTATGTGTTATCAATATTTCCAGTATCCCTTATATAATTTAGTCCTCTCGCCAAAAGTCTTTCTCCATTTCAGACTTACAAACTAATGAAGGCAAAGAGCTTTAAAATGAGCTGTCAAACGAACACTATTACTCACACTTTGTCATTTTGCCAAGTTTCATTCAATGGCAAGATACCAAGTTACTCTACTTCCTATAATGCCAAGTCCTGGAAGAAGGAGGAATTAGCGACGTGGAAAACCTGTGATGGTATTTCAGTTGAGAAAAGCTATTTTCATCCTTCTTGAATTCAGGGTTTCACACAGCTTGGTTCCTAACCACGTTTCACTGCTTCAGTGGGAACACAGGTGCAACTGATAAATTTTTATAGGCGTAGGTAACTATATGACTTTTTTCATGTGCTAAAACCAATGACAATATTAACACAAGCATTCAACTTACTTTGGAGGGCCGATATTAAGCACTTTACCCAATTACCAGTCACCTCCATTCAGAAAAAGGGAGAAGTTCAACAGAACTACTGCATCCAAAACCTACACCTCCGCGCCAAACATCTGGGCAAAGTCCTGCCGCCTCTGTTTTTGCACCATTCCCCCGGATATATTTCTAAGAAGTGGATAAATTCGCTTAAAGGACAGATGATAGTAGCCCTCTACGAGGGAGGATCCACGCTCAAGAATCTCCGCAAACTAGTCCCGCGACTCTGACTCTTACCAAAGCAGTGACAAGTCCAGATTCTAGGATGGCGGCGGCGATCAGAAAACAATAACAAACAAAACAAGGTGCCAGCGCTTACCAAGAGGCGTCAGTGCCCTCGCCCCTCCACCCCGACCGAGTTGCTCCCAGGGCCCCAACCCCTGCCCTTCCCCACCCCCTTCCCGAAGCCCTGGCAGCAGTTTTTCCAATGGGAAAGGATACTCTCCATATTCGACATGGTCTTACGACTTTTCTCGGGAGGCAACAACGCAGGGCAGCGGCAAGGGCGTGATGCGAGAGCGCTCAGAGTTCCGTCCTCGTCCCGACCTGCGGGTGGCCTGGCACCTAGATTTGCGATCCCACTTCCTGTTTCTACGCCGGGCCGGTGGGGGGCGGAGCTGTCTGCGCCCCAGGGGCGGGGCTGGGGCGACGCCAAAATGGCCGCAGCCCGCAGAGACGGCTGGGGTGGGCTGCGGTCTCTGTCGCAGGGGGGCGGGAGGATTCCCGAGCGAGGTTACGCCCCGCCCCCTCATGTACATTAGACTAACCAAGAGTTTAACGGTTCCACCCCCCGCCCCCCTCTAATCTAGTACCGAACTTTTCTTAATCCTCCGCCCCACCGCTTCCCTCAGATCTCATACAATCTCTGGCCCCTCATTTATGTTCTCAGAGCTTAAATCTTACGGATGAAGGAAAAAGGTATAGGGCTTTTTAAGTACTTTTTCGAGAAACAGTTGTAACTCTATGAAATAAGGACCTAGAGGTAATCGGGGTCGACAGTTTTGCATTGTGATGTTAATTCAGTTGAAGTTGTACAAAGAATCGAGATCCTTAAACTATTACGTTGGAAGGGGAGGATAAGAATAGATATAAGAAGTAAAGTTGCTGTGAGATATATATTCGTAATGAATCGATTACTATTATTTTGTACAATAGTGGTGTAAAATACGAAAATTAGTACTAAATCGCTCTAAACTATCGTGGACAGGGAAGTTAATCGAAGTACTCAATAGAGGTTGGTATTTTATATGTAACATTAAAATAATCTAAGATAATTTATAATACGCCATCTCTAGATTTATGGAAAGGAACGGGATCTTTGGCACCGGTGTCACTGCGTTTGAATTAAGAACTCTTGGAAATTCCAACAGACGGCTAAGAGGTATTACTTTAGGAAAAACAACTAAAATACTCTCTTAATGAAGACTTTTATAAATTTAGCTTTAAATTTTTTCTCATGCTTAAAATTTCAATATGTGCGGAAAATGAGTACATAATTGGCTGAGCTTTTTATCTTTCGGATGGTTTCCCATTGAACCAAAATGGTTTCAAAACCTACTGTTTTGCTCTTGTTAATTGATGATTGGTAGGCTTCAGACTGTTACCTAACTATAAACCGTTGATGCCGAAAAAATAAACCTTTATGAATATAAGCTTAACCTGGAAACCACTTCCATAGATAGAACAGTATAAATATTAATTTAATTTTTTGATCTTGCTCTCAGAGTATGTATTTGAAACTAACATACGTTTCTATAGAGACACAAAACTTGGTAGATTGCACCGTTTCATCACTTTCCGTGCTAACCAACGTATTTCACTGTTTGAGAACTTTGCGGTATAAAGGTAAAAAAAAATACTTTTTAAAAGTTCTTCCCTAGGAGCTTAATATGGATCAGCATGGCTCTTTTAATAAATCCACATGTAGACCAGAACAATCAATCCACTGATTCTTAAGCATTTCCATGTTTTATGTAAAGATTTGTTTTTTGTTATAAGTAGGTAACCAGTAAGAACAAGGCTTTTTAAGTGTTTTTAAACTATTTTTTGCATATTGTAGAATTTCTTAAGAGAGGGTTTCTTAGGATAGGATTAGGTTTTCAGTAAAATCAAAATCTGGAGATACTTGTTCACTTAGGAAATGTCTTAACCTATGTCCATCTTAAGTGAAATACATACATATACATATATATCCGATATCTTAAAAGATTGTGAAGTTTTTTTTGTAAGTTCTGAACTAATTTTAACTCCAAAAATTGTTCTAATTTTTATTGGATATCTTATTTCTTAAACTTAAATTTATTATCTTAGGCATAGTAATAGAACTAAAGTATATGTATATTCAGTTCTAACCACTGCTGTTCAACACAAGGAATTGAAATCTGTCAAAATCATAAACCTGTTTTATTACAATAGAGCATAGAAAGGAAAGACATCAAATTTTGGTTTTGTTAAATACTGAATACTGTAAAATAATAGTTACAAAGCATGAGTATAGAATAAACAAAAGGAATACAGCACTCACCTGTGACCTGTCGCCCAATTTTTTAAAAAAGATTAGCATTCCCTTTAAATTCCCTTGTGTACCCTTTTCCTAATCATAGTCCTTTCCTTCCCTTTTTACAGGCAATACTGTCTCAAATGTATAATTTCCCTGTTTTGCCATAGTATTTTCATCCCTAAATATTGTTATTTAGTGTTGCATGTTTTTGAACTTAGGGTAAATGAAATCATACTGCTTTTTCTTCTTTGATATGCTTTTGTAACTCATCATGAAGTTCTTTATCTGTGTTATTGCATGTAAGCCTAGTTCATTCATTTTCACTGCTGTTGAGTATCCCACTGTATGAACATATCATAACTTATTCATCCTTTCTCATAATGGACATTTGGGTTGTTTCTACGTTAATGTAGCCTCTGAGAATATATTAGTGTTGTTATTATATACCCTAATTAAACACTTAAGGTCAATAACTTTAGTCTCCTAAACATGTTAGGATGAATCTGGAAATATGTAATCATAGTGATGATTAAGGTTGATTTTTTAAAAGTCAGATACAATATTTAAAAATATAATTTTACTCTTACCCTGAGTTCATTTATTCATTGTTTATTACTGTATTTATTCATATTTCTTATACTTTCGGGTTGTCTGGGATTTTAGCTTTGTTTCTTCCACTCTACCAGACCGAGTAGTAACTCCTACCCTGTCTTACCTAAATGGACAACTACTTTCTTCTCCTTTCACCCTTATAACAGGGCTATCATCATAAAGATGATAGGTATGGGAACTCCCAAATTGTCCTTTTGGGACTTAGTTAACTCTAAGCATAAAGATTTAACTGAAGCAACATCAGTCACATATTGATAAATTCAGATCACCTACGGATACTTAGAAAAATGTGTTTTAAAATATCTGTGAATTTTCACTGGGATAATTGAGATATAGAGAACGAATGCAGTAGCTTAACTCAGCAACTACTAATATGTTAATATTTGACATGACGGAAGTTAATATAGTAAATTATAATAATTCCCCAAGGAATCAAGTTATTTTTTTTTCAGGATTAGTCAATTTAGTTCTCTAAATATTTGGCAATCCACTGTGTTACCCATAACAAGCTTTAGTTTTTAAAGTTAAAAACGTTTATAAAACAACTGCAGTTGAGGTCTAAATTATTTAATCTTTAATTTTAATTTTGGTTGCTTTGGGACAATAGAACATTTTTTGTACCTTCTAGCAAATTATTTCAAGTTAAACTTCCACTGAAGTAGAAAGACAGGAGTGCTCTAGGAATGCAAATGGTGTAGTATTATATAGTATTTTTCAAATTTCAAGGTCCTTGTTAAAAATACAGATCGCTTGCCTCACCTCCATAGATTCTGAGAGAATAAGTTTGGAGCTGGGTCCAAAGGTCTGTATTTTGCCTCTGTTCATGTAATAGAAATGAACATTTTAATGTAGAGTAATAAAAATCCTATATTGCCTAATATAGCTGAATTTGGGTGGAATTTCAAAATGCTTCTTATATATCATTTCATTTGATACTTAAAGTAATCTAAGGCAAACTGAGCAGGCATTTTCCTCTTTTTACCAATTAAAAACAAAGGACAAACAACGCTCAGATAAATAATGCAATTTGCTCAAGCAAGTTTTGAGCAAATGGTGTCAGCATTCAATTCAGGCCCCCTTGATTCCTAATCCAGTACTTTTGAATATGTATAGCAGATTGACAAGGAGGAATCATAAATAAGACCACTTCTGCATCTTGCTTTCTATAGCTCAGGTGCACATTTAGTATAAATGTAAAAGGAAGAATTATTCCAGTTGACTGGCAGTCTTTCTGGTTGGCATCCGAAGATTCAATTTCCTAGAAATCCTAAGGTGTTAAAAACTGAGAGTCTTTCCTGTTCGTAATGGAAAGACTGTATCATTAGGCAGGCAGAGAACAACTTCCTGACTTCATTGTTCTGTTTTTTTATTTGATTTGCAAAATTTTTGTAGTCTAGAACTCTTCAGGTGACAGGTGAAAGAGATTAGAGCTGCAGAAGAGCTAAAACTATTAGCTGCGGTAAATAGAAGATGAAGCAAGATTGTTCATTTTTGTGTTACTGAGTTGTTTGACTTTTTAAAATATATTTTCTTCTATTTTTCTTACACATACCCCTTTCAGGGGGGTGGTTTCTTTTCATTTAGATGATGGCTTCCTTCACTATGCAGAAGCTTTCTAGTTTGATGAAGTCCCATTTGTTCATTTTTGCTTCTGTTTCCCTTGCTCATGGGGACTATCTAAAAAGGGAACACTCAGACTAATGTCAAATAGTTTATTCCCTATGTTTTCTTCAAGGAGTTTTATGGTTTCAGGCCTTATATTTAAATCTTTAACCCATTTTTATTTTTTATTAAATGTATTGCTTAATAAGATTATATAGGTTTTGAGTGTATATTCCTATGATACATGATCTGTATATCGTATACTATGTGTCCACCACCCAAAGCTAAATCTCCTTTTGTCACCATATATTTTACACCCCTTACTGTTCACTACCCCCCTTCCCTCTGGTCACTACCATTTTGAGTTTACTTTTGTATATGGTATAAGAGAGTGGTTCAGTTTCTTTTTTTTTTTTTCGGCATGTATCTGTCCAGTTGTCTCAACACCACTTGGTGGAAGGGCAGCCATTATTTCATTGTACATTTTTACCTCCTTTGTTGTATAGATTAGCTAACCATATAAGCTAGGGTTTATTTCTGGGATCTCTATTCTATTTCATTGATCTATGTGTGTTCAGTCTCTTATGCTTTTCAGAATACAGGTCTCTTACCTCCTTGGTTAAATTTATTCCTAGGTATTTTATTTTTCTGATGCAGTTGTAAATGGGACTGTTTAATTAATTTCTCCTTTTGAATATTCATTGTTAATGTACATGAACATGATGGATTTCTGTATATTAATTTTATATCCTGCTACTTTACTGGATTATTCTCTTACTTTTTGTGTGGATTCTTTACAGTTTACTATATATAGTATCATGTCACCTGAAAATAGTGCCAGTTTTACTTCTTCCTTTCCAATGTGGATGTCCTTT